TGCCCCACTCCTGTGACGTCCTCCAGAGCTTTCTTGTTGGAGCGTGGCTGCTCTTGGGGTCAAGGTGGTGTTTTCTGACTCAAAGTACCTATTCTGTTTGACTCCGCACACTTCCTGCCTCTCGTTTTTCTCCATGGTGCTGGCATGTGCCAGGATGAACCCTCATTAATGGACCTTTATGACCTCATGCCTGTCTTGGTGCGCTTTGAAAATGAAAATGAATCAGCCTGGCAGGAATTTGCAGAGCCTGACGTGAGTCTGTGGTTCCAAGACTTGGCTCTTTACTGCTCCATCTCCAGACAAGCTTAGCTAGGTTTCTTCCGGAGGGCCCTGGGAGAGACGAAGAAGGGGGCCCTAGTGCTTCTGTGTGTTCAGAAGTGCTCTCACTGCCTGCGCGTCCCTCTGTTCTTGCCCGTGCGGGTTTGATCCATGGATCCAGCTTTCCAGTTCATGGCTCCTCTTCCCTTGTCCTCCTGACCCAGTGCAGTCCAGCCGTCCCATCTGCTGTAGGGACAGCTGTTTGGCACTTAGCACTGACTGTGTTGCATTACAAGCTGCCTGGCTCTAAGTGTTGAATGTGTTTTTGCTGCAAAACCCAGGACTCTTGGTTACCAGCAGCAGGTTCAGAGCCTGGGCAGAGCTGGGGCCTCTGTTCCCTCCCTGGGATGGGGCGACTTGGGGCAGAGACTGAGGGGCGTCCTTGCACCCAGGGCCAGAGCTGACGGCGAGCAGCCAGCAAGGCTCTGCAGAGTGGCCACATGGTGACTGTCCTGGTGAGCTGAGTGACTGGGAGAGATTGGGTAGGCCCTGGAAGGGGGGCCCTCACGGTAGGGCTCCCACCCCCCACCTTGGCCAGACAGGGGCCTTTGGGAAACTTTACACATCAGATGGTGACGCTCGCGTCCAGGCGCCCTTGCTGCTTTTCAGACGTGTTGTGTGACTCAGGGCAGGTGACTTCACCTGTCTGGGCCCCCAGTTTCCTCATCCGTGCAGTGGGGATGATAATACTGCCTACCTCCTAGGCGGGCTGCTGGGAGGATTAAATGAGATGGAACAGTCCATAGAAGCTTCCAGAAGTTTCTGGCCTGCATTATGTGCATATGAATTGTCGTGGTCAATGTCATCGTCATCAGCTGTGAGTCTCCTGGACCACACGGAGTCTAAAGTCTTTTACAGCTGTGGGGATGTTGGGGGTCATCTTTTTGTTCCTGGCTTGGCAGGCTGGGTCACAAGTGTGGCTTGGCACCCCTGATCCTTACCACACTGGGGTCGTGCACGTTGTCCCCTTAAAAGGGGGTCATGGGCAGGGGTCTGCCTCTGACAGGGCATGGCCTGCTCTTTGATCTGTGTTTTCTTCCTTGCTGGAGGCCTGACCCTTGACCTTCTGTCATGTCAACTGTGATCCTCTCTGGTGGGTCCTGAGGTGGCCGGTTCTCCCCAGCTCTCCTCTCCTTACTCCGCATCCACGAAGGGCAATGGCGGGTGCTTTGGATGATAAGTGAAGGCCATGCCAGGGGCTCTGGGGAAGGAGAACAAGCGTCACTGTCAGGGACATACCACGTTCAAGGAAGTGGCCCAGGCGTATGGACAGATGGACCCACAGACATCAGGACAGACGTCAGGGGTCTGAGACATCTCACTTGGTTGGTTACTTGTCTCTGCTTTCTTTGCCCCATGAGATCAGCTTGGCAGAGACTGGTTCCTTATCAGGCCTCTAGGGAGAGGGCTGGGCCTGCGTTCTCTGTGGTCCCTTCACGCGCGGACGGAAAATTATCCAGACCTTAAGGTGGTTTTCCTGCCGACCGTCTTCTTTCAGACGTGATGGTTTGCCACTTGCTGACCCATTATTGAAGGGAAATCTGTGGTTTCTGGGACCCAGAGCTGAGACTATGTTGCTGGAGGGAGCACACGACCCCCAGCTACGGAATCAGAAGCACATTTGCAGTTTCTGGGGCTCGTTCGGGGGCGTCTGGCAAAACGAGAATCCACTCGTTATCCGCACCACCTCCCAGGTTACTCTCACCTGCATGTGGGGCCTGGAAGGTGGTCGGGGAGGTAGGAAACACATCTGATTCTGCAGGTTCCGTTGTCTAGAGACAGTCTCTGGCCTGGCTGCTCCCTTCCCCAAGTCTGCCTGCCCGGCTGCCTGGCACGGGCCATTGCCAGGCCCCCCTGAGAGCACCATGCCCCCCACTGAGGCACTGGGCGCTGAGCACCTCCCGCCCCTTCAGCTCTGTGGGGACCTGGGAACCACGGGGAGGGCTTCTTTCAAGTCAGCCTGAAGGCAGCGGGGGACACCGGGTATGTGTGGTTTGGTACACCGTGTGGGGGTCGTCCAGCCAGAGCAGGAATTCAGCTTCCACTCCTGGGGGCAGAGCCGTATCCGTCCCCTTTCTCCGGGCGATCTCTCTGTACGGATGCGGCCTGCCAGCCTCTCCTTCCTTGCACCTTTCTTCCTGCGCTCACTTCTGCCATGAGGCACAGGGTGTCTGATTGGGAGCAATGTGCACGTCTGTCCGCACCTACCCAGTGCTTCAAAACTGCACTGTCCTCTGCTCTAGAATATTGCACACGTCTTCTCCGTCGCAAGCAGTGAGCCAGGCCCAGGGATTTTTTTTTTTTTTTTTTGAGGCAGAGTTTATCTCCCTAGATATTGAAGACCCAAGAAGGAATGCTGATTTTCGTAGTACTGACTGTATTCATCTTGTCTGCCCACTGTGAAACCCCGAGGACGCTGGGCACAGGAGAGGTGAAGCGTGAGCCGGGCAAGGACAGAGACCTGGGTAGGCGGGACTGGGGAGGAGAGTCCTGGGCGGGTCCCGCAGGAAGGGTGCAAGGTGAGTGAGCCTGGAAGCCCGGCTCATGGGGATGGGGAGGACACAGAAGGGGACGACGGGAGCGGGCGGCAGCCAGGACGACTGGGTTTTCCCGTGAGTCTGTGCGTTGCATTTTTATGGGGTCTCAGGTGATCTTTATGGGGACCTTACCCAGGCACCCACAGCTAGGCACACACATCTCAGGTGCAGAGATGATGAACCAGGAGCAGCGTGCTCAGGGTGACATGTCCAGTGACCGAGCACTTCTCATTTTTGAAATCTGCCCCTCCCTGATTTACTGCATGGCCACCTTGACCCATGAAGGGGCCGGGGGAGGCCATTCCTCTAAGGGTCCCACATGTCCCCCTTCACCCAGCGGAGAGGCCCGACTCATACCTGAGTCTTGATTGCATCACGACCCCAGTGCCTGTGGTGAAGACGGTGCTGGTACCATGCAATCTGGTCTTTCCACTTCTTAATTCCAAGCCAGAAGATGTTAAACAAGAAGACCAAAGGCACCAGCCCTGGGGATGAGCACTCAGCAGAGGGGGGTGTGTACGGCGGGTGTGCGCTCCTGCGTGGGTGCGTGAGGGATCGCACTGCACTGCCCACCTGCCGGGCTCAGGGTGGTTGAGGGGGCGCAGAGAGACCTTCCGGGGCACCCTCCTCCCTCGGATCACCACGCAGTAAATGAGATGATTCCCGCTGACTGTCCGGGAGCCCGTCAATAATCATTCTCCTCTCCCTGGCAGCCCCCAGGAGTGAATTTACAGCGACATGGTAAAAATGAGGCTCCATGATCAATGGGTCCCCAGACAGTCTCCCCCAGGAGACACAAATGTATATTGTAACAAAACTTTATTTTCTCCCAAAAATTGCCTGCATGATTAATACGGCCTGACACGGCCCAAGCTGTTCCGCATTAAAAAAACAAGCCGTTGTTCTGCCTCCTTCTTCAGTGCCGTCCCCGTCTCACTCCCGGCCTTCATCTGGTTTCCTTTGTTTTCGCCTCTAAGGTGCATGCTCTGTGCTTTTCCGTCTTGGGCAAGGGGGGAGAGAACGCGTGGAAATGCCCTAGCCTCCTGTTCATGCCGCTGGGTTCCTGCTCCGTGTTGCCAGTGAGGCTCAGCTGAGGCCGTAGATGCCCATTCGCTGGTGCTCCCGGGACGGAGTGTGGTGCTCTGGGGACTGAGCCAAGCAGAGCACATTCCCTGGGAATTAAACCACCTCTTAGGGGCGCCTGGGTGGCTCCGTGGGTTGAGCCTCTGCCTTCAGCTCGGGTCATGGTCTCGGGGTCCTGGGATCGAGCCCCGCATCGGGCTCTCTGCTCAGCGGGGAGCCTGCTTCTGCCTCTCTGCCTACTTGTGATCTCTGTCTCTCATAAATTAAAAAAAATAAATAGATCACCTCTTAAATCAGCAGGAGCTCTACACCCCGGTGTCCAGCCTCTGTGAAAAGGAGCTCTTCTCTTCTCCTGGGAGAGTTGCTGTGAGGGAGGACCTTCGAGTCAGGCAGCCCCATCTCCTGCCCCCACCCCGAGATTCTAGGAAGAGTCGGGGTGTCTCGGGCAGCACGCTCCCGTGATTATGATTATTCATGTGTGCGTTTTAGGTCCTAGAATGCAGGCTGCACCAGAACAGGTCTCCAGGAGATGTCTCCGTTTGGGTTCCCCCAGAAGCAGACACTGAGACAAAGATTTGAGTGCGTCGGTTGATCAGGAAGGTGGAGAGAACACCACTAGGGGCTGGGGAAGTGGCGCCTGGAAGGGAAGGCGTCCCCCGAAGGGCGTGGGTGACGAGCTCAGTCCCCCCGTGGGCCTGTGGAAGCCGGTGTGAAGCACCCCTCAGAGTCAGCTGCCCCCGGGGTGAGCGAGCAGGGGTACTGATGCGCCAGCTCCTGGCAGGTTGGGGCAGAGGCATTGCTTGGGTGGCAGCCAAGGAGGCTCCAGGCAGGGAGATGTGGGCTCCTGGAGTGGGAAGTCGGGCAGGGGGGCACCAAAGTGGGGTCAGGTAAGTCTGGGAGAATCAGGGCTGGGTCCTTTAACAGTCTCCTTCTTAGGGTTTTGCCAAGAGGGGCCAAGAGAGAGCCCGTGACTTACACCTTGGGAGGACATGTCCATACCCGTCCCTAGTGCCCACGTCTTCCTCCCTCCTCTGACTCTCTCCCCTGCCTCTCCCCCCGCAGGTGCAAGGAGCTGAAGTACGCCAAGGAGCTGCCTCAGATCTCCATCATCTTCATCTTCGTGAATGAGGCGCTGTCGGTGATCCTGCGGTCCGTCCACAGCGCTGTCAACCACACGCCCACACACCTGCTCAAGGAGATCATCCTGGTGGATGACAACAGCGACGAAGGTGAGGGGTGGCCCAGCTGCTTTGGAGAGGAGCGTGCGTGATGTCAGTAGCGGGGGAACGCCACTGGCGCTGTGACGGGAGCCCACGAGGCTTTGCCTCCTGGCCCTGGGGCATGCCTACAGGGTGCGAGGTGTTTTGAGGAGGACATCTGGGCGAACACTGGTCCGTTAGACAGCCCAGTGCTAGAGGGCCCTTAAGAATTCATGCCTAGCCGCTTATCTAGACTCATTTCCCTTCTCTTCATGACCTCAAGTAAGTAGATGACACCCAAGGGCTGACTTCTTCCACGCTCCCCGCCCACAACCATTGCCATTGTCCTGTGATGGGGACCGTTCACCTTGTATCTGAAGTCCCCTCTGGGCCGCTGTGCCCATAAAGACCGTAGGTAGGAGTGAGTGGTGTTCACAGGCCTTTCGTGGTTCAGCTCTGTTGGGAATGATGGCTCGGTGAAAAAATCCCAAACAAGCGAGTGTTGGGCAGCGGTAATAGAAGTCCTCTGAGCCCTTCGGAGACCAGTCAGCGGGCGAGCCTGGTGTCCAGGTGGGGGTGGTGGGCGGATTGGCCTTGCTAATTGTGCCTTGATGTTGGCTCTTAGCCTCCAGAATTCCCTGTGCTCACTGCAGGGAGAAAGCCCCATGAGCTGAAGACGTAGAAGAAGGCCGGCCAGCGTGTGTGCTTCAGGCCGAGGAAGGATTAGGGACAGGCTGACCCCCTTGCTCTCGGCATGATGAGTGGAGGAGGATTTCCCTGTGTATGTTCCCAGGTCAGGAGCGGGTGAAGAAGTTGGAGAACGATGCCACAGGTCCTGGGTGAAACCTGATTACAGCTGGGAGCTCTGGGCTGGGCCTGTCACGTGTCAGCAGCCCAGATGCTGCTGGCCACCTGCCCCTTCTGAGCTGGCTGACTGTTACCCAGAGGGCTCAGGGCCTCTGGGCCCAGCCATCTGCCCGCCAGGGTATACCCCCTGCCCTGCGGCCTCGAGGTGCTGAGGACTGATGTGGCATTTGCTGTATTTCTCACAACCTTATTTTTCTTTTTTGACCTTTGGCCATTTCATTATCCGTTGATCCTTCTGAAACGGACATCGATGGTCTCCTCGTGAGAACATGGCTCATTCTGTTTCCTGAAGCCTCCAGGTTGTCTGGTGAAGTCGTCTCCCTGATGTGGCTCCCAGAGCCCCTCGCTGCAGCCTCCCTCTGAGTCCGCCAGGGACCTCTTGCTTCAGCAGAGGGAATCCCCAACCCCTTTGCTGGCCAGAGTCCACCCACTTGTTCCCACTTGTTCCCCACCCACTTGACACCTGGTGAACAAGTGGGTGGACTGTGTCCCCTCTGTGTCATCTCTTCAGAGAATCCTTTGCTGACATCCTAGGGCCCTTGCTCTGTGCTCCCTCCACTTCTGACGCACGCAGCTGGTGATGCCTCTGCATCTGGCACAGCTGGCTTCTCGGGGCTGGGCAGAACTTGGTTCCCCATGGCTGGGCTGCTTAGCTGACCCTCGGGAAGCCTCACCCAGCCCGGGAGTGAGTGATGAAGGACAGGGTTGACACGGGGCCAGCAGGAGCCGGCAGCGGTGGCTGGAGGCAGGGCAGAGAAGCGCAAGCAAATCCAGAGAAGAGAGCTGGTGGTCTCCTTGGACTGACTTGGGGGAAGGACTCACTGCCCATGGGGCTCTCCCTGCTCAGGGAATCTTGGCAGAGCTCAGCCAGGGAGGAAGAAATCAAAGTCCAAGCCAGTCCCACCCAGAACACAAGTGGCGGTGGTCTCCAGAAGGTGACTTAGTTTTTGGTTCCCCCAGAAGCAGACCCTGAGACAAAAGATTGGCGCATGTTAGTTGACTCGCGAGAGGGAGAGAACACCTCCAGGAGCGTGGACAAAGCAGGGCCGGGAAGGGAAGGCATCCCCCAAGGGTGTGGTGTGCGGATGGCCCCTGCATGTGACAGAGCTTCATCCCACGGGGGCATTCGGGGAATGGAGGCAGTGGGAAGCCCACTCCTCCTGGGAGTCCGCCTGCTCCGGGGGGGAGGGAACCGGGGTATTGATGCACCGTCCGCGTTCCGTCGGCACCTCCTGGAGCCCCACCCTGGAGGAAATGCAGTCTCCCGAGGTCCAAAGCGCTGCTGAGAATTTCTGTTTCTCGCAGATTCCCAGGTGGGGCTGAGGCTGCTGTTGGGGACAGTCCGCTGGAAACTACGGAGTTAAGTACTATTTCGGTGGTTCCGTGGGTGAGAGAGGGTGAGACAGATGCTTGGTCCAGTCTGAGCACAAAGTTAATTCCCATTCATCCTCTTCTCTCCCCCTCCAACTCCCCAAACACCCAGTGCGTCGTAGTAACACGGGTTCCCTCTTCCTTGCCTCCAGCCTCTGTACGTTCTCTGGCCAGAGGGACAGTCTCCAACTGGAAGAGGAACTTCACGGTTTTCCTCTTTGTTGAGATTTTCTTGGTGACTCGTATTACCGAGTTCTGTACGTGTCCTATATACCCGTGAAAAAACCCCACACACTGTCTTCGTGGGACTGAATTCCTGCCAGATGTCAATTTTGTGTATTTACATGGACCCGGAGTTTATTTTCTTGAGTCTTTCTGATGATGATGTTTTAAAATCTCCTCCTACGAGGACTCTTCCTTCCTGCGTTCCTAACGATGTTTGATTTCTGTATTTGTTGTCAGTTTCTTTGGCAACTATAGACTTGTGTCTGCATGGCTTCGTTATTAGTGGTGGTTGTCACCATTGTGTAATGCTCCCTTTATCTCAAAAGCATATTTTCCCCCCTTGCCTTGAGTTTTGTTCATCGAATGTTAATACTGTTATCCCTGCTTACCTTCTGCTTGAGTGTGATTAAACCGTTTTTTCCAGCCTTAGCATATTTTCTCATCGCAAAGGTAATGCATGTTTTTTGTAGGGAAATTGAACATATCCCAAAGGACTTGTAATTGGAGAATAAAATACTGAGCAGGGTAACTGAAGACAAGGGCTCATTCCCCCTCATCCTCCCCTTCTTTAATGCGTACGTTACCTAGTTAAGATCCTATAGTAAAAGCAAGTTAGTGTTCTTGTTCTCCCCCGAATTGTGACACGTAACATTCCTCTTTTTATTCAGAAAGATCTGGGGTACCCAGGCAGCTCAGTCAGTTGAGCATCTGACTCTTGGTTTCTGCTCGGGTCATGATCTTGTGGGTTGTGGGTTCAAGCCCAGTGTCTGGCTCTGCGCTTAGCGAGGATCTGCTCTGAAGATTCCCTCCCTCTGCTCCCCTCCCTCCTCTCTCTAAAATAAATAAGTGAACCCAAATAAGTAAATAAATCCACAAGATCTGCAAACATCATTTTCATGAGGGTAGAGTGGGCTGTTCTCAGGCTGGTCAAGACTGGCTCGGGTGGGAACTGTAATCCTGTACCTCTTTGGTTATCCCATACATTAAAGAAAAATGAGGCTTTCCCAGAAAAAGAAGAAAGAGAAAGAAAGAAAGAGAGAGAGAGAAAAGAAAAGAAAAGAAAGGAAGGAAAACCCTGGCTCGGGGACTGTGTAGATAAATGTGAGTAAAATCCAGACGACTGGGGATCTGTGCGCACAGGCAACTCAGCGTCTTGCCCTTGTGGGTTGTTTTTCCTAAGGAGTTCTTGCATTCCGCTTCGGTGTTGACTCTGGCTCAAGGTAAGCCCAGGTAAGATGCGGGACTTTGTGGCCATGGGCATTAAACTGAAATCACTCGTGCAAACTTCACCAGCCGTCACTGCTCACCCGATCCAGTGGGCACTTTCCTGCTCTGATCTGGCCACCTTTGACATTGTTGGCAGCTTCCTTCTGGCACTGACCTCCTCCCGAGTCCCCAGCATCACTGTCTTCTCCACCTTGACTCCTTGCTTCCAAGGGGATCACTCATGCTTCTTACCATCAGGACACAGTGGGCACTTTCTCCCGTGCGCGTGTTCGGAATGATCTCCAGATCCATCATTCTGGTGCAGGGCAACTCAGGCTCTCCCCTGAGCCCCAAACCTGGGTCCTCTGCGTCCTCTATGGCTCAGGGTCCCTCTGAACTATAAGCTCAATCTGTCCAATGACTGATGTAGCATTCTCTTCTCAGCCTTGGACACCTGCTTCTCGTTCTTTCTCTCCTGTGTCTGTGAAGGGCTCCACCTCCTCTCTGTGTTCTCATCACCAAAGACTGGAAGGCTTTTCGTTCTCTCTCTCCGCTCCCTTTCTCAGCATCCCCTTCATTCCTCTTGAGCGTGATCCTACCTGGCCGTATCCTGAGCCACTGATCCTTGTTTAGGTGTTCAGTGTTCTTTGCTCTGATCTTTATTTGAGGGGTTGAGGAGAAGGGGATTTGGGTGCATGGAATTGTATTAATCATAATTCTTTTTTTTAAAGGATTTTTGATTTATTTATTTGACAGACAGAGATGACAAGTAGGCAGAGAGGCAGGCGGGGGTAGCGGGGAAGCAGGCTCCCCGCTGAGCAGAGAGCCCGATGCGGGACTCGATCCCAGGACCCTGAGATCATGACCTGAGCCGAAGGCAGAGGCTTTAACCCACTGAGCCACCCAGGCGCCCCATCCCTTTAGTCTATCTTATTTAGAGAAATGTCTGTTTAAAGCTTTTGCCCATTTTTGAAGTGGGTTGTCTTTTCAATGTTGAACTATAATTGCTTATATCTCCTGGCTACATGCTCTTATCAAGTATATTCTATAAATATTTTTTTGCAAATGTATTTGCAGACATTGTCTTCCATTCTGTGGGTTGTCTTTTCTTTTGATAGTGTCCTTTGATGCACAAACGTTTTTAATTTTCATGAAGTCTGGTTTATTTTTCCTTTGGGTTTTGGAGCTTGCTGGTGTCATAGCTAAGACACCATTGCCTAACTCAAGGTCCCAAAGATTTACATCTATTTCTCTTCTAAGTGTCCTATGGTTTTAGCTCTTTTTTTTTTTAAGATTTTATTTATTTATTTCTCAGAAAGAGAGAGAGAGCACAAGCAGGCAGAGTCAGAGAGAGAAGCAGG